ATATTAGGCACCTATCCCATGACTTGATATGGCAGTGTAAACTTTCATTTTCTTCAAACTAAACAGGGTCTCAAAGAAAGAATGTCACTTTCATAAAGAACAGAACAAACATGAAAACAATACTTTTTCCTAAAAAATATTAATTTTAGCATAACCAAATCTTTATCAGTAACTGTTTTAGTATAGATTAAATAAATCATAGTACACTTCTGATATTTTTATTTTATTTTTAATGCAAGACTTTTCATATGCAAAGTTAAATAGTTTAAACTTTTTCTATTCTAATTATTTATTGGAATCAAACGGAAAAAAGCAAGCACAAGCATAAAGGATGTTCAAGCAATAACTGGGAAAGTGAGGCACTGGATTTAACTCAAAAGAAATAATGAAAGTTGGCTGGAGAAATGATATCTGAATTGTCAACAGACAGTAAAACAATTGAACTAAGTGGTGGGCCATCAATGTAGTAAAATCTGTCAAGATATAGACCCTGAAACAGCACATTCAAGAAGCTCCAAGTATCTGGCATAAGGAGTATTTAATTGGCAGCCCTTGTAGTAGCAAGCTGTTCTCAAATTTCTATTGGCTTTTACAAATTCGTCTTGGTTAGTTCATTTATATTTCATATTTTTTGATTAATTATGGAAAAATGTGTTTTATGTGTGTTTTATGGGGAACCATAAATGATAGGCTAAAATTAAAAGTGCAAATATGAGCTATCAAGTTTTTTTGATTCAAAATAAAAACTGAATCATTTTATTTGTAAATGTGCCATAGTTTACCAAAAAATGAAACTCAGTCGAAAAAAAAACTCACCTCTCACCCCTGCTATTGTTATTGGTTCTATTTTGTAACATAGTTATTTAAATGTATGTTTATTTAAACTTTTATCTCTTGGAAAAGAACAAAAAATCTCAGTAACAGCAAAAGCAAACTAACAGCAAAAGTGATACATTAATTTTAAAATGAATTGACTTAATTTTGTATCTTTATTTAAAAGCCCATTGAACTGTATTTAACTTTGCCATTAATATGAATCAATACAAAGAAAATGTTGATTATATAATCAACATTTTCTTTTGTATTGATTCATATCAATGGAAAAGTTAAATAACGTTATATATATATATATATATATATATATATATATGTGTGTGTGGGGGGTAAAATATAAAAATAAAAATCAGATGTTCATTTGCTTAACAGGAATCACATTTTGTTTCAATAATTTAGGTTTTGTTCTTGTGTAATAAAAATCAGAAAATTTAGAAAACTTCTTTGATATGTTTTGCTGATGAACAGGCATGATCAGAAAATTTTATTACACAAGAACAAAACCTAAATTATTGAAACAAAATGTGATTCATGTTAACAAATGAACATCTGATTTTTACTTTTATATTTTTACCAGCCCCCCATATATATATATATATATATATATATATATATATATATATATATATATATATATGAAAATTTCTCCGATTTAACCAGTAGAAGACAATATTTATAAATAAAAATGACAATAGGAAAAACTGGTTTTCCTATTGTCATTTTTATTCATAAATATATATTTATGTTTATATTGGTAGTTTCCTTATTTCTAGAATAGAATAGAAACATCACAGATCTTTTATGTATTAATAATTACTAAGTTAAGCTAAGTTTGGTACAATACCAGTGAGGATCAAACTTATTTCTCTAATAATGGTTTGTAAGATTCATTTCATTGAGGCATAAGACCACAAGTGCGAGACACTTGGTGAGGTTCAAGTTCACTATAGTATTATTGGTTTGCTAACAATTGCTCTACGGCAAAGTTTTTTTTTTTTGCATTATATCTGTTCAGGATGTAGGTGATCATGGTTCACCACAGATTTTCTTTTTTTATTATCTTCTTGGAAAAGATAGTGAAGTAGTTTGTTACTTTCTCTACAATTGTGAATTCAGGGTAGTCCTTTTCCTAGACTGGTTGCCACCCAGAGGTAGAGAGCCCAGTCTACCCTGCTATTAAATGCATAACTATAGGTAGAAGAGATGCATTCATGTCTTTTCCAAGGGTATTAGTGTGAAATTGAATGCAATAGACTTGGCTGGAATTTGAAACTGGTTCACCAATTCCACTTTTCATATTAATAACTGTTACACTATCTGCACATCCAGCAAAGTTTCATATTCTATTGTACATGATTATAATCTAATCTTTATATAACAATGAAGTTTAGTTTTTTTTTTTTTTTATTTGATAAAAATGTTTTCTTCATAAAACTCCCAACGGTCTTTAGGTGGTGTTCTATAAACTGATTGTGTCAGTGTCTTTTTTTATTCTAGTACTACTTGAATATCAGAATTGGAGATGAGAAAAATATTTGAATGACATTTTTTAAGTATTTGTTAATATAATAAACTATTTTTTATTTAATTTCTAGGCCTTATGTTGCCAAATATACAAAGGTGTAAAAACTCAAGAGATGCCAGTGGAAAAACAGCTTGGCCTCACTTTATGGATACTTGGAACACAGGGTAATTTGTTATCAGTAGCAGAAAGATTTAACACAAATATTAACTCTCTCATGACTATTTTCATATCTACATGTAGAGTACTCTGCAAATTATCTTCACAAGTCATCTGTTGGCCAGAGAACAATGAACTTTCATACATTGCTGAAAGTTTCAAAGACAAAACAGGTTTACCAGGAGTTATTGGAGCCATTGGTACCACTAACATTACAGCCAGAAACTCAAACCAAAAAAACAATGTAGGACAAGTCAGTGTTTGTCTCCAGGCAGTTTGTGATTTCAAGTTAAGGTTTATAAATATAAACATAGACAGTTCTGTTCTTGATCACAGATCATTTTCAGCATGTGGGCCTTTTTATAGGTTCTTGGTAGGCAATTTACTTAGCAAAAACTTTTATGTTGTTGGAGATATTGATTTCCCACTCTTGCCTTCTCTATTGACCCCGTTTACAAATAATGAACAATTACCTTTCCAAGCAGAATTATTTAACAAATATCATTCTTTAGCAAGAACTTACATTTATAAAACCTTTGCATTGTTGGAACAAAAATTTAAACGTTTGAAATCTTTGGATCAATACTTAATAGGAGAACTCCAAACAGTAATCACAGCTTCTTGTGTATTGCACAACTTTATCTTACAGACAGAAGTGGATTGTGTTGATACACTTACAACTATAGAACATAGAATCCCTGCACTGGATACAGGTATCAGAAAAAGTATGCAAAATCAAATGTGGATATATTCAGATAATGACCAATTGGAAGATAGAATGAAAATGGAGGCCATTGATTGTCTAACAAGTTATACTTTTAAACAGAATACTGTATATAAACGACTGGAACTTGAAGGTTCTTCAAAACGGATGGAAGTTGCCATGTCTTTATAGCATTTAAAAATCCTTCATTTTAATGTCAATTATTTCAAACCATATCCATCATGGACACATTATAAATGCATGAAATAAATTTTTAATTTTATGACAAAAAATTTAATACTCTTTATTAATGGTACCAGTTGACTTTTGCATAACACGGATCAAGTTTTGATAAAAGGATGTAGAAAATCATTGGGAAATAGAGAAACTGTTCTCAGAAGAAATTTTTGATACTAAATGTTTTGATTTTGGATAATGAAAATGAATATTTTAATAGCATTAATATAAAGTATGAGAAACGACTGAAAATTATTATTGTATGAATGATTTGGTCTAATATAATCTTTTTTTATTTTTTATCATATTTCAAATAAGTTCCATAACTGTATTTTGCAACCAGTGATTTTTTTTAATGTTAGCCATTGTATGTGTATGTTTTTAACAGTTTAATTAGAACAATTCACATTTCTTCATGTCATGGATTTGTGCTGATTACTGAAAAAGGGATGAAATCAGTCTAAAAAAAAATTAAAAAAGCCACTACAATGTAGTATTCTTATCAATTTCATTTATGGAGGCTCCTGAAGGCCATTGTTTACCAAAGAATAATCCTAAAATGAGTAAAAAATATCAGAAAATTTTCATGATATCCATATAAATTTAACCATATAACTGTGAAAACTAACAAAAATACCAAGATTACTTTTTATTGCAATTTTTTTCATGTCTAAAAACATCTTTGTAATATTGTTAAAAATTAATAAAATATACTACTTTTGTCCTATACTACTTGTTACATTTCTATACACTAAATGTAGCAATTATTGTGACAAAGCTTAATATGTATAAAAAAATACTCGTAGCAAAATCCAATTGTACTAATGAATGAAACACAAATAAACATATTTTGAAAAATCTTTTATAAAAAAGTTGAATATTACAAATCTCTAAATTTATGTGTCTTCAATACGTTTGAGCAACTCTGAAAATGTCATTAATAAATCCTTCCGAGTTGTATTTGATCCATTACTATTCTTTTGAACACTATCTGCAACCCTCTCAAGGGATCTGCTGATATCTGCTAATACGTTAGTCCTTTGGTCAATCAATATATTTCTGTGTTCATAAGCTGTGATTTTTCGCTGTTCCAATTGTTCAATTTGAGCAAGTCGCTTTAAGGACTCTTCTTGAAATTTCACAAACCAAGATGGAGGTCCATTAGGTGTAGGATTTTCAACTGAAGGATCAAGAGATATTCTGCAGCTTGCCTCATTGGAATATTTCTTGGAAGATTGTTCTGATGTTTTGGGAACAGTGCTTGAAAGAGGTCCATTCTTTGGGAGATAGTTTGTCTTGGGGAAAACATGTAGAGCATTCTGGTTTCTTTTAGTTATGACTGAACTGGAATTAGGGGTGACTGATTTTTCAGAAGGCTGATGCATTGAGACAGTTCTGATATTTCTCCCTGATGGGAATGCATGATTGCCCAAAGTAGTGGCACTTTTCAATGCTAAAATGTTTTGGTTTCTATTTTTCATTGTAACACTTCTTGAAGATAGTTGAGGTATTGTTTTCTTGATGAGTGGTGTAGGCTTTTTGCAATTAACTGCAAAATTAAAAGAAACAAATTATAAATTTTAACCTTTATAGGACATTAATAGTCATATCATTGTCTCAGTCAATGCTTTCCAAACATCTTTAGCTGCAACCCTGAAAAGTGAATTTTTGTTTGGCTGGGTGACCCCCTCATCTGGCAAACAATGAAGATTTGGTCTGATTTTGTAAATTTTAACTTTAATAATCAATAAATCTTTATATTTCTTATGTTAATAAAAAAATGCATATTACAGAACATCAATCATCCGAAACAGCAGTGCCAGAAGTAAAAAATGATATTGTAATTGTATCTGGTTCTAGCCATCCCAGTATATTAAATAGACATGAATAGACAGGAATTCATAGATTTATTGATGATTTATTATTCACTATTTTCCTATTCCAGAATCTCAATGATATTTCATATACCGAATTTCTTTTAACTTTGTAAATGTTTTTTTTTATTTTCTTATTGTTCATATAAAGCATTTTGCAAGCTAAATGCGATTCATGACTATTTGTTTGAGAACTACTGGTCTAATTGATTTCATCAAACTTGTGTAAGCTTATGTTAATTAAATAGAGAAAAGAAGAGTGAACTTGAGTTTGAATGATAGTTAATCACAAAAAGACATGGAATCTATTCTTAAAATATATTCAGTTTGGAATCTTTTGTTAAAAATGCATAACCAAAATGTTTCATTCAATTTTACAAGTTATTATAATAATACATAACCTTTATATAAAAGTTATAATAATATGAAACATTTATATCAGAAATTTGTTTTTAATTTTGAATATTTTCATTTAAATATTTGTAGTTTTGATTACAGTCAAATTTGCAAGTGTATTTTTTATCTTAGTATCATCAATAAATGCCAAATATTAAAAACAAAATTACCAGAAGACCGGTAGAGTGATTTGGTTGTCTGAATGGAGCCGTCAGTCATTAATTCTTCCATAAGTTGGAAAAATTCCCATTTGCGTCTGCCTGTTGTTGCTTTGCCATTTGATTCCTTTAATAAATTGTATCTGAAAGATCACAAAATAAGGCAAACTGGTAGAAAGAACATTACTTGCACAGAAGTCTCACTTTTCATATATTGTGGAAATTTTCCAACATAAGAGTTTTTGGCAAGAAATTTAAGCTGGAATAAAACATGCATTATAGAAAAAAAACAAAAAAACTTATTTATAAAAATAATTAATTTTCCATCTTATTTAACAGAAAAAATAGAAATATGACAGTATAATTTTTCTAAAAAGACACTGGTGAAAATCAAACTATTTACAAGTAATTCAAAATACTTTTGGTAAAGAGTGAGTTTTGGACATTGTCTAACAATTTATTGTTGGACTCTATGTACAAAATTCACTCTTTCCAAAAAGCATTTTGAATTAATTGTAAAGAACCTGATATTTAACAATGCCTTTACAGTTCATTAAATTAGAAGGGGAACAAAAAAAATGGAAATAGAATATTGTGCTGTTTTCCATACAAGTTAAAATTCAAGTTAAAATATATAAGTTTTAATTAATAAAATTAAATTTTGACCAAATTGGATGGATTCAAATATACATAAGCAATTGTTTACTTTCATTTCAAAATCTGGCTTTGTATTAAAATAATAATTAAGATTTACTTTTGCTTTGTCGATTCTCTTTTTATGAATAAGAAAAGTGGATTTGAGAAATTTACTGATGCTTATTTAAAACCTAATCTAACTTGATCAATGTTGGGTAATACTGCCAGTTGAAACATTGTTTATGTATACCTGTATTTAAGAGCACGGAATTTATTGTCACAAACAGTTGCTGGATAAGGGTAACCCTTGCTAGCCAATAAAGAAGAGATTCTTTTCCAGCTGTCTTTCTTGTTGATAATTGGTGATTCAAAAAGGTTTTTGTGTTTTTTGTACAGTTCAATCAGGAGACGAGTTGCAGCTTGTGGCCATTGAGCTGTTGGAAAAAAATCAATTTTCTGATAGTTATGACAAAATCAAGAGAAAAGAAGCAGAAAGATTATGTTGGATCAATCATTAAGTAGAAGGTCTACCTGCCTTGAAAATCAGCATTCAAAATCCTGATTTGAAGACTGGCCTCTGTCAAGGCAGGTCCAATTTTAAATTATTGAATACTGTAAATTTTCTAAGTTCTAAAAATATCTGAAAATTTCTCAGAACTGGTGTCTACTATGATAGACAACAAAATTAAGTGACTTGTTCAAAATGATTGTTCAATTTCATTTTCTATTTGTAAAATCAATTCATTAAATTACAAAGTACAACTGACATTTTATATAAACAAAACTGTTGATTATCTTAATTTGTTAGATTTGCCATTGGATTTTATATTGGCTGCCAGTCCATAATTCTGATCAATGATTTATAGATATATTATATATTGGAAGCATTCAGCTTGAAGATATATAAAACCATATAAAGGTATAAAAAGTTTTTGTTAGAATTTTTGTGACTAGGAATTATTATTATTATTATTATTATTACTATTTGGAGCAACATGTTCATCTTGATTATTATGCTCATAAGGTTTTGGCCATTGTACCGTCCAGTCTTCTTCAGATGCCTGTCAACATACTCAGTAATCTTAAAATTTTAAACTGATGATCCATGAGAGTAGATTTTTCTCATTCTACTTTCCATTCTTAGTAGAGATAACTCATATTACCTAATACCTACCAGTCTTATTCCCCTTTTTTGTGTCACATGTTCATTTCTTCCACTGACCTCTTGAGTTTCAAATAGATAGGATAGTTGGAATTTTTTAATTATTTTTTTTATAATTGTTGGTAATGAAACTCTTTTTCCTTGAATGCTCACGGCCTAAATTAAGGGGTTGGTGGAAATTTCCTGAATATTTAATAAAAGGGGTGGTTGGAATAAGGATGTTCCAGGTAGATTTTTCTCTAAAACCAAATCGCCCTTGCCTGTTTTCAGCACTACCAGATTCAGCCATTGAACACACATTAGTTCAATCTTTGCCAGGGAACTAGATATGTTTGAACTAAAGTTTTGGTTCTTTAAGCTATGTGTCTCTCTGGAAAATCTAGTAATAAAATTTTGGAAATTTATCCTCCAATGTTGTTCTCTTTCTATACTGAACAATACTGGAGGATAAAATAACTGCAAGAGGAAACACAAACCTCCTCGGTAGATCTAACATAAAAGGAGCTTCTGATTAAGAAAGAAAAAAAAAAGATCCCACCACCTGAATCAGGACACTGATAGTCCCACCAATTGAATCCAGACATTAGGTTTAAGGGTCCAAAATTTCACTACTAAATTGTTCTAGTGGATTGCTTTACAATATTTAAAACATATCTAATTCCTTGGTAGTTGTGAGTTCAAACCTTGTGTCTGTTAATGTTGAAAACTCTTGTTCAGTAGAGAAGAGACAAAGGTTAATAAGACTGGTGAATATTTACTGATATAAAAGCATGGAAAGTGGAATGAGAAAAATCTAACTAACTAGAACTAATAAAGGGCTTAGATTGAAATTCCAAGAAGGTTACTGAGTACAAAGACAGACACCTGAAGAAGGCCAGAGGCTAATGGCTACATAAAATGAGCATGCTGGCCTGAGTAGCAAGGCATATTATTATTATTGTTGTTATGATAATGATGATGATGAAAAATTTATTATTATTGTTGTTATGATAATGATGATGATGAAAAATAGCTTTTGCCAACAACTGCAAATCAATATTTAAATGTTTAAGCCTAAATTCTAGGTATTAAATTTAATAAAAAAAAAAAAAAAGTTTTTAAAAGTTTTTTTTTTCCTTTGATGCAAAACTGTTTAATAAAAATACTTATATGGAAGAAAGAAAAATCAAGCATGATTACATAAAAACAACAATTTTAAAGCATAAATTTACAGACCTGGTAGAAATCTCTTGACTTTAATAGTAGAATTTGCTTGACTGCTGGCAGGGAAAAAAAAGAAGATAAAATATTTTTAAAAATCAAACAAATAGAGAAAAAACTATGAAAGAAAAAAAATAAAAGCCATAAAATATGGAGAAATCGAATGTGTATTAAACAAATTCTTTACTTCTACTGTTATTTATAAAAAAAATTGTATGTCTTGAATAAATGAGAAATATACTAATGGTTCATTATCTGTCTAAATAAGTCATATTTTGTATACTCCAGAGATGTATCATATTTTGCCTTTGTGGTGATGCCAAATAAATAATACTTATATACTAGAGTAGATTATAATTTTATTTATATTAAAAAAGTATATGTAAACAATTAATCAACTTCATATTTTTAAGCTTAAAGATTTTCACTGAAAATCTTCAATAATTATATGAGGTGTTGCCAAAAAGAAGCACTTTCTCTAAAAATACTGCTATTTGTTCAGATTTTAGGAACTGGATTGGCCTGGCAACTTTCCAGTACCCTCACATTATGAGATTAAAAAGAGAGGATGGGAGTGTAGCCATTTCAAAATATCTACCAATGATTAATGTACAAGGCAGATTTTTCAAAATGAGGTTATTCATTTTTTCAAAGTGTTTATAATAATGTTGTCTAAGTACCATTAGTATTATATTTAATATAGTTTTTACTTTATTCCTAAATTTTCTTCAAAACAAAATTTTCAGAAAGTTTTTAATAATCTTTCTGATCATTTTGTTTTGAAGAAAATTTAGGAACAAAGTAAAAACTATATTAATTACAATTTGAGAAATATAAATGCAAACAAAGATTAGAAGTCTTCAAATGGTGAGAATTGCAGAGTTCTCACAGATCAGTGTAAAAAAAATTCAAGGACTATTACAGAACTATGTTGAGAAGTTTTAAGGACTGAAACTTGCACGTGCACACACACACACATACATACATACACACACACACAAAGTAAGTGGTCATCAATCCAAAACACCAACTTTATGATTTATCTTTTAATAGTTTGAGATGAGATGTTCAAAGAAAAGTTACAACTTGTTCCAATAACTCATGTCACATGGATCCATTGAAA